CCAATGGGAAGCCCTGGAGAGAGCAGAGTAAGATGAAAGGAGAAGCTAGGGTATTTCTCCCCCCCATCTCTCTCAGCCTTGGAGGGGGTTTGTGGCTGCAGCAGCTAGGAGGTCTCCTCCATAGTTGCAGGTTCAGCTAGAGAGGCCCATTGTGGTCCCCACTCCTCTCTGGGTGGCCCCGGGGTACCAGTCTTGGTAATGCCATCTCCTCCCTGTAGAGCTCCAGCCCTGGGGGGCGGGGGGGGGGTCATGTCTTCCTGAGTTGTTGCTAACCTCTGGTTTGCCTCAGCTTCCCCTGGTTGCTCTTCCTGCTCAGTGCAAAACTTTATAACAAACTCTCCATCATATTAGATTCCCTCTTTAGAATCATTTGGCATGGGTCTTATTTTCCTGAGTTGACCCCCTGACACTCTGTGGCTCTGTTTCCTAGCCTATAAAATGAGGGCTCATTGATTCATTAACATTGGCAATCTAGTGGCATCCTCATGACTGCAAAACTGTGCTACATGTTGGGAAGCAAGCACAGGAAACAAGATCCATCAAAAGACATGAAAATCCACACACTGCCCATCCTTCATGTCTCCGTGATGATCCAAAGAGATGCTTGCATAAACGTTCCCCGCTCCCTGGGTTTCAGGAATTGCCATCACAGGTAAACACTGTTCGGACCACAGCCTGTTCTCTGAATCCAAGTGTCCTGGTCCTAAGGCCTTGCCCCCACCTTTCCTCCCCGCAATCCTCAAAGAGAAAAATTTAGGACAAATGAAAGGAAGCCTTAATTTACACCATGGGAAGTCAACTTAAGGGATTCATTATCTCAAGTGGTGGTACAGTTTTAAGCTATAAATAGGTTTTTAAGAACAGGTTTAGCTAAACCCATAGATGGCCGTGGGCATGGAGACAGAAGGTAGAGATGAGCCCGGAGCACTCACCTGCTGACTGCCTACTCTTAGCTCTGTTGCCCTCCTGAGGCATCTGGTACAGTGGAAGGGGCAGTGGACTGGGAGTCAGGAAACCAGGGTTTGAATGCCAGCTCTGCTGACCAAGTACATGACCTTGGACAAGTCACTTCACAGCTCCTGAGCCTATTTCCTCATCAGTCACATGGGAATATTGAGAGTACCTAGGATCTCTGGTTGTTGGGATGATCCCCATTTAAAAATGCATGTAAAGCACCTCACGTAGAGTACTTGGTAAGCGCCCAGTAAACACTCACTAGTGCAATTGTTATCTGCTGCAGGAGCTCTGGCCTGGAGTCACAACCCTCTCCACTAGACCAAGAAACTTGCTGCATGATCTTGAGCAAGTCACTTTCTTTCTCCGGGCTTTAGCTTCCTCATGTGTAGAATGGGAAACTAGCCCTACCTGGCTCAGGAAAGAACAGTTAAAGTGTCACCTGTTACTATTATTACTGCATGAGCAATGGTACAGCAGTCTAAAAGTGTGACATCTGGAGCCACATTGCCTGGTTTTCAATCCCAGCTCTACCCCCTACTTAGATTCCTTTCCTGCTCTGTGCCTATTTCCTCATACATAAAGTGGAATTAATGACAGCAAGTACCTCACAGGGTGGTCATGAGGATTACAAAAACTAACGTAGGTTAAGTGCTTAGAACAACGACTAGCACAGAGCATTTTAAGTTTGTGATTACTAAGCATATAACACATGGCACCCAAACTGCTTGGGGCTTTCGAATCTGACAGACTTGCGTCCGTACACCCTCCTGGTGGTGTGACCTTGGACAAGTCACTTCCCCTCCCTGAACCTCAGCTTCCTCTTCTCTACAATGGAAGATGCGAATAACCCGCTTCCTTAAGGCACCATGATGCAGCAAAGCGTGTGTGCAGTGCCTGGCATGTGGCAGGTGCTCATTGAAAGTGCTTCCCTCCTCTTCCCCTCTTGGCTCCTCTCCTCAGCATTTTTCTCAATGGTCCACTTTGTCCTTCCGACCCGGAGCCTCTTCGCTGCTTCTAAGAAGTCTCCCCCTCGAGCTGAGGCAATAATGACAAACGGCATGTTTTGGTGGGAAGAACCCTAGATCCGCAGTCAGAAAACCAGGGTTGGCTTGCTTGTCTTTGTAATGGAAGGATTCTGATATGCTGTTTCCAAGGAGCCATGACCTTGGGCCAAGAGCGTTCCCTCTCGAACCCTCCTACACTGTTGGTGGGAATGCAAGCTGGTGCAACCACTCTGGAAAATAGTATGGAGGTTCCTCAAACAGTTGAAAATAGAGCTACCATACGATCCAGCAATTGCACTACTGGGTATTTACCCCAAAGATACAAATGTAGGGATCCGAAGGGGTATGTGCACCCCAATGTTTATAGCAGCAATGTCCACAATAGCCAAACTGTGGAAAGAGCCAAGATGTCCATCGACAGATGAATGGATAAAGAAGATGTGGCATATATACACAATGGAATATTATGCAGCCATCAAAAGGAATGAGATCTTGCCATTTGCAACGACGTGGATGGAACTGGAGGGTGTTATGCTGAGTGAAATAAGTCAATCAGAGAAAGACATGTATCATATGACCTCACTGATATGAGGAGTTCTTATTTATTTATTTATTTGAGAGAGAGAATGAGGGAGAGAGAGAGAGAGAGAGCATGAGAGGGGGGAGGGTCAGAGGGAGAAGCAGACTCCCCGCTGAGCGGGGAGCCCCATGTGGGACTCGATCCCGGGACTCCAGGATCATGACCTGAGCAGAAGGCAGTCGCTTAACCAACTGAGCCACCCAGGCGCCCAATATGAGGAATTCTTAATCTCAGGAAACAAACTGAGTGTTGCTGGAGTGGTGGGGGGTGGGAGGGATGGGGTGGCTGGGTGATAGACATTGGGGAGGGTATGTGCTATGGTGAGCCTTGTGAATTGTGCAAGACTGTTGAATCACAGATCTGTACTTCTGAAACAAAAAATGCAACATATGTTAAGAAAAAAGAAAAAGAAGAAGATAGCAGGAAGGGAAGAATGAAGGGGAGTAAGTCGGAGGGGGAGACGAACCATGAGAGACGATGGACTCTGAAAAACAAACTGAGGGTTCTAGAGGGGAGGAGGGTGGGGGGGTGGGTTAGTCTGGTGATGGGTATTAAAGAGGGCACATTCTGCGTGGAGCACTGGGTGTTATGCAAACAATGCATCATGGAACACTACATCAAGAACTAATGATGTAATGTATAGTGATTAACAACAATAAAAAAATTTTAAAAAAAGAGCGTTCCCTCTCTGGGTCTTGGGCTCCTCTTCTGTTCCATGATGAGGTTGTTACCTTTTACATCGTGACATTCTGCAATCTTGTGATTTGGTGGCAAAGGCCAAGGTCTGGATTGAGCCTTAGTTGGGCTGGGGAAGGGAATGGGTGCTGCAGGACTACTGCTGAGTACCCCAACATCCTTGGGAGAGGTGACATGGTCACCAGGATATATCCTACTGGCAAGTGGTGACGGTTGGGGGTGGCTCTGGATAGCTGAGAAATCAGGTCCTCATTGGAAACCTGTGCAGGGAGTGCAAAATCAACCTGCCATCATGCCATTGTTGACCCAGCTTTCCAAGCCTGCTCTGGGGGCCTGGTCCTGCTGGATGGGAGGTAAGGGGTGATGAAGGAACCTAGCCCATCCAGAGGCCTCACGCTCTATCCCCCCCTACCAAAACCTGCTCCTAGTAAAGGACCAGGGAAACCCCCTCATACTCAAGTACACACAAATTGTAACAGCTGGAAGCACGCTTTGCCTTTTTAAATAGGGTTTTTTTTTAACAGGAGTTTTTTGAAGAGTCTTCCTTCCCTCAACCCATTTGTATTTTTCAATTGAGGAAAATAACTCGTGCAACACAGACTTAGGGACAGACCACGGCAGCAGGCTCCCTCACAAAATGATAAATAGGCTTAAACAGAAAGTAGTGCCGAAGATGGTATTTGCAGCATCAGGAAGAAGGGCATACATGAAGAGCTGCTGACCTTTAAATACATCTACACTGGTCTACACGGAGCAAAGGAGGGCTGTGGAGGATGTCTCGACCTCTAGCTCTACTAATGCAACAAATACGTATGAATAAAGTTCACTAAGGGCCGGGCATTGACTCCTCTCCATTTCCCCGAATCCAGCCATCCCACCTGCCTCTGGAGTGCCCTTATGGGACTTTAGGACCAGCCACTTCCCATTTCCGGGCCTCATTTTCCCCACCTGTACAAGGATTATATGTTTCCCTCCTCCCAGGACACATCAAACCTAATTAGGAAGGATTCGATTAGCCTCGATAAGAGCGTTAAGTCATCGGTCAGAAGCCAAGCGAAATGACTAATGTTTATTCCTCTCCCGCCAAGTCAAAACTTCCCGGGCGCCGCACACCCATAGGAGCTGTTCCGGGAGGGGCCACTGAGGGCCACGCCCCCAGACCGTGGGGCAGCCTTCACCGCGCCCAACCCTGCGGCCCAGGGAAGGGGCCCAGCAGTGACGTCACATAACCACGCCCAGTGTAGCCCTCCGCCAAGAGAGAAAGTAGTCCCCAACCCACAGCGGACTGTGCCACCCATACTTGGCGACGTATAAAATACTAGACCCTCTCCGGACTGGACCGTGGTTCTGAGGTCTCAGGGCAACCTTCTGACACAGCGGAAAGCTGTCTTTCTCTGGGTCGGCGTAGGAAGTAGTCCCGGCTTACGGTGGGCCGACGGATCCCTCCGCAGCGGGGGAAAGAGGATGGCGACCTCGTCGATGCCGGAGTCGGAGAGGAGCGCGGCTACGAAAGCGTCAGGTGAGCATCGGGTAGAGTCAGGTCGCCCCATTGCACCCTGCCGCGAAGTGAGGCCAGACTGCGGGGATAGCCAGCGGCGAGCTCCCGGGCCGGCGGGGCTGTCCGAACAGGGCCCCGGGGTCCCAGGCCCTTTAGTCGCTCTCGCACTTGCCTGAGCGGAAACCCGGCGCCGCCACAAGATGGCGTCGGGCCTGGAGCGCAGGCAGCGCCGGGGACAGCCCCGAGTCGCCAGGCCCCGGGATCGTCGCTGTCAGCCCCCTCCGCATGGGAACCAGGGGAGGGGGGAGCGAGCCACTGACCCACGGGGGCCTGAGGGCTGTACCACCGACCCTGCACCCGGGGGGACTCGGGGGGCCTAAGGGCTGAACCACTGAGCCCCGAGCAGGCTCTTCGGGCGAACCACGCTGCGGGAGTCATGGAGGAGAGACGAGAAGGGTCAAGATTACCGGCCATTGACCACCCTCCCGGGGATGGGGAAGGGGTCTAGACTGGGCGGCCAGGCTTCTTGGTCCTCTTTTCCCGAGGCTTCTGTCTCTGTACACGAGAAAGCCTCTCCCCGTCGGAGACTCAGTCTTTGCACCTGCGAAATGGGCACACGGGTGCAGCTGGGTGGGCCGTGGTTGCCCGGGCCGGGGAGGAGGCCCACCTGTTCCAGCCCGCGTCACCTCCTCTCGCAGAGTGAAGAATCTCGACCCTGCGCCTCCCTGTCAGGCGGCTCCCCGAGCCGATGGAGGAGAACGAGGTGGAGAGCAGTAGCGACGCGGCTCCGGGGCCTGGCCGGCCCGAGGAGCCCTCTGAGAGCGGCCTGGGCGTGGGCACCTCTGAAGCGGTGTCGGCCGACAGCAGCGACGCCGCGGCGGCTCCGGGGTCGGCGGAGGCCGACGACTCTGGCGTGGGGCAAAGCTCCGACCGCGGCAGCAGCTCTCTGGTATGGACCGGGCTGGCCGGCGTGGGTGGAGGCAGGGACCAAAGGCAGCTTGCCTGGCAGCCCAGGGAAAGCAGCCAGAAAGGCTGGCTTGTAGCTAAAACTTGTCTTTGGTTTACTGTGTGTCAGGCACCGCGCCAAGCCCCTAACATGGATTTTCTCATTTAAGCCTCATTCCTTGCAAGGCATCTATCACTCTTTTGCACTACAGGGAAGGAAACCGAGGCACAGAGAGCCGACAGAGCCAGGAGTCAGACCTACGCTGTGGTCTTACCCACTCCACTACCCACTGTCCTCACTCTCTGAGATGCAGGTGCCCTGGTTCAAGGCTTGGCTCTACCTCTGATTCACCGGGAGGCCTCCTTGAGCCTCATTCTTCTGTCTGTAAAATGGAGCAGGAATACCTGCCTCAGAGGAAATACTCTTGGACACGTTGTGTAAAACTACCATTTCCTCCTGGCTCTCTAATCTTGGACAAGCTACCCTACTTCTAGCTCTCAGTTTTCTCATCTGTAAAGAGGGAATGATAAGTATATCTGCCTCAATAGGGTTTTTGTGAGGATTAAATGAATTAATACCTGCGAAGCAATTAAAACCATGCTCAGCACGTAGTACACATTCAGTAAGTATTAGCCATTATTACTGCTGTCATTACCTGCAAGATGACTTCCGAGGTACAGAGCTGCCCAACGATGGACCCCCCTTTTGGGGTCCAAGGGTTTCGTTAATTTAGCAGAGATGGGCCTGCCCAGCTTGTGCTGAACTCTGGGGATACAGCCGGGGACAAGACAGGTGTGGGCCTGACCCTTATGGGAAGTACAGTCTGACCTAGGAGACGTTATACTACAGAGTGAACCGTGATGAGGGGACACAGGTGACTGTAGCACCAAGGACAGAGAGGTGCTGGTTTGGCCTGGGGGGTCAGGGTTGGCTCTCTAGAAGAGTACCTGCTAAAGGTGGTGAGAAGGCTGGGTAGGAATTAGCTGGGCAGCATTTCAGGCAGAGGGAAGAGCTAATTCAAAAAGGCCCAGTGAAAACAGCTCTTCGAGGCTGTGTATGAGTGTGGGGATTACATCTGGGTGTGGGGATTATGCAGCCTCTTAACCTGACCAGAGCCGGAGACCCTGGAACTTGTTCTTTAGTTGGCTCTGTGGCTAGAAGGCATCTACTCGTCATCAGTGGGCCTGATGGTGTAGATGGTTCCACTCACCATGTTTTTGGGCCAGGGAGCTAGATCTGGTGGGTGGCAGGCAACCTGCCCTGCCCCATCACGGCTCCTAAAATTCCTCTCTCCTTGTTTTCTGTCACCCAGGAGGAAGTATCTGAGAGTAGCTCGAGCACAGACCCCTTGCCCCACGGCTACCTGCCTGATTCATCTTCTCTGTCCCATGGGCCAGTGGCAGGGGTGACAGGTGGCCCCCCAGCCCTGGTGCACTCCAGCGCACTGCCAGACCCCAACATGCTGGTGTCTGACTGCACGGCTTCTTCCTCGGACCTGGGCTCGGCCATCGATAAGATCATTGAGTCCACCATCGGGCCGGACCTAATCCCGAGTGAGTCTGGCAGAGGGCAGCAGGAGTCAGCCCACAGGGATTTCCTGTGGGGTCCAGCAGAAGCAGCTGCACCAACTTAGGCAAATAACCCTACCACTCTAAATGTGTCACGTGGGAACAGTAGCCCCTGTTTTGTAGTGGTAAATGAGGTGAAGATTTAATGAAACAGTGTAGTATAGTGCTTGGCATGTGATAAACACTGAATAAACATAGGAACAATAATACCTAACTTTGTACTGGGGTTTGCTCTAAGCACTTTACATATAGTATCTCATTAATCCAGCAACCCCAAAAGATAGGTGCTACCATCCTCACAGTCTAGATGAGAAATCTGAGGTACAGAGGACCCACCGAGACCAGCAATGTTGGGCCATAGGCTCAGATGGTCTGACTCCAGTGTCCGGACTCATGAGTTACCACACTGTACTCTCTATTATCAATGGTGTGTGTAAAGGCCATAGACTTTGAAAAGCCCTCAGGTGGTGTGGGAAGCCAACCCTGAGAAAGTGGTACAGGGGCTAGGCCTTGACCTTGGGGGAGTTTGGAGACGGGGAGGGGGACTCTCCAGGTTTTAGTGGTCAGAGGTGGGACAGCTGGGTAGCCATGGCATCTCTGCGACTGTAGGCCAGCTACTGGGCCAGCCTGTCACGCCAGACCTCCCAACAGCCCAGCTCTGGGCGGAGGTGCACGGGCAGGTACAGGGTGCAGGTGAGGCTGGGGGCAGGGGGAGGGCAATGCAGCTGGATCATAGTTGGTGCAGGTGAGCCAGACTGAATGTGGACAGTGACAGTTGTCATCGTCAGCTGGGAATCCCATCCCTACATCTCTGCCCAGGCTGTATCACCGTAACCAGTGCTGAGGATGGCGGGGCCGAGACGGCACGGTACCTGATCCTGCAGGGCCCGGACGATGGTAAGACCCCGGGCAGCAGACCCAGGAAGCCCTGCAGTGGGCGTGAGGGAGTCGGAGAGGGAGGCTGTGCCACAGACTCAGTAGGTGGTCTTGGCAGGTTGTCCGCTGCTCTGGGCCCCACTTTCCCTGCCGTCACTGGTGGGGAATTGGGTTCTAGGATCTCTGGGCTTGCCTGGGAGGGGCAGCCATCACTCGTGGCCCATCTTCCCCTCCACTCTGATTCCCTCGCCCACCCCCAGGTGCCCCCATGGCCTCGCCGATGTCCAGTTCCACATTGGCCCACAGCTTGGCAGCCATCGAGGCCCTGGCTGATGGCCCCACATCCACGTGCCTAGAGCCACCGGAGGAGGCACGGGGTAGGCCCAGCTCCCCCACGCAGCCGCCCCCGGGCTCTGGCGCCGAGGAGCCAGACCTGCAGAGCCTGGAGGCCATGATGGAGGTGGTGGTAGTCCAGCAGTTCAAGTGCAAGATGTGCCAGTACCGGAGCAGCACCAAGGCCACGCTGTTGCGCCACATGCGGGAGCGGCACTTCCGACCAGGTGTGCCAACAGCAGCCTGGCCAGCTGGGCTGTGCGGATGGGGGTGGAGGGCCGAGAGCCAGACGTGGCAAGCTTCTCTGATCTCCGCAGCAGCAGCAGCAGCAGCAGGGAAGAAGGAGCGTCTGCGGAAGTGGGGCACCTCAGCCAAGACCCAGGAGGAAGAGGGGCCAGAGGAGGAAGATGACGATGACATCGTCGACGCTGGCGCCATCGATGACCTGGAGGGTAGGCCAGTGTCGCTCCCGGGCATGCCACCACCATACCCATCTCCAAATACTGAGCTGCCTCTGGCCCACATGGAGGGCTGGGAAGGAGGACTTGGCACAGATTCAGCCACGCAGGTGCCTCCAGTGTAAGACAGGAGTCGGGGCTCTGGGGTCAGGACCTGTGTGTGCAGTTGTGCGGGTTGTGTGCTAAAAAAGAGCACCACATCTGAGAGGGCCACGTTCACGTTTGTCCAACAGAAAGAAGACGAGCCACACGCACTTTTTGTTGTAGCCATATTTAAAAAGGTTAAAAGATAAAATGAAATTTAATCATAATTATCGGTGGGTTATTTTATTTTCTCTTTTTATTCTAGTGTTTTGAAATCCAGTAGCTCGGTGTAGACCAGGCGTAAGTGCTCAGTAGTTACATACGGCTAGTGGCTCCCGCACTGGAGAGCACCGTCATCAGAGTTTGTAGATTTGAATGTTTCTTCCAACAGTTTTCTAACAGTGGCTGTAAAGTGTCTAAAGGAAGGGGCATTTTTTTCTAATTCACATAGTGGTGCTGTCTGAGTTAGTGTTTGGAGTCAGGAGAGGTGTAGAGAAAGGTTTGCAAGGGCTTGGAGAAAGGCGCTCAGAGTCAGCCAGGAGGAGGTCAGGAGGGCTTCTGGAGGAGGCATCACTGGTAGGTGGGCTTGGAGGAGAAGTAGGCAGGGATGGGAAGAGGGCCTCTTGCCAGGGAAACCAGGCCAGGGATCAGGGCTGAAAGGGCGGGTCCAGGACTGATGCCCACCTTCTCTTGCGGTCCCCACAGAGGACAGTGACTACAATCCGGCCGAGGATGAGCCCCGGGGCCGGCAGCTACGTCCCCAGCGCCCTGCTCCCAGTATGCCAAGACCCCGAAGGAGACCTGGCCGGCCTCGGAAGTTGCCTCGCCTAGAGACCTCAGACCTCCCAGATGGTGAGAGTTGGTCGTAGGTGGGGCCATGTGAGTAGGGCTGAGGGGTGGCCTCATTCCCTGCTTCCTTCTGTAGAGCCTTGGGGAGTGAGTGTGCCATGCAGGGCAGCACATATCAAACATGGGAGACCCGCAGGCCTCCTCATAAACGGCCAGCCCTCTGAGACCGAGCTTGAGAAGACCTGAGTTAAGAAGCGATACGTCAGCTTTGTATCCTCGGTGGCAAGGTGTCTTACAGAACAGGAGAAGTGTGAACCTTTATAACTAAACCAAGAAGATAAGTTTTAAGTATGATTACTTAAATGAGAACAAGTCTGAGACCTGAAACTGTGTCCAGGGAGCGCTGGCTTGGAGCATTACTGGCTGGGGACTTAGAAAGCCCCATGGGCATGATGGCTCTGCCACCTACTAGCTATGTGACTTTGCCTCTTGAATCCCCTGTCCCCTTTTTATGAATGGAGGTGATAGCACCTGCCTTCTCAGGATCGCTTTAAGGTGTAAATACAAAAATACATGGTAGCTGTTTTTGTATACATGGTCTGGGGGAGATCATTACACTTTTTTAGCATCCTTTTTAAAAATAGCTTCTTATTAAGATCTATATGGGAAAGCACACGTATCCTAAGTGCCCAGCTGAGGGAATTTTGACAAGGGAATGCACCTGTACAGGCGGCACCCCCGTCAAGAAGCAGGATGTTACCGGCGTTGTCTGGATCAGTTTTTTTTTAAGATTTTATTTACTTATTTGAGAGAAAGTGAGTGAGTGAGCACAAGCCAGGGGAGGGGTGGGGCAGAGAGGCAGAGGGAGAAGCAGACTCCCTGCGGAGCAGGGAGCCCGATGTGGGGCTCCATCCCAGGACCCCGGGATCATGACCTGAGCCGAAGGCAGATGCTTAACCGACTGAGCCACCCAGGCGCCCCATGTTTCATTTTTAAAACATTACATTGGAAGGGCGCCTGGGTGGCTCAGTTGGTTAAGCGACTGCCTTCGGCTCAGGTCATGATCCTGGAGTCCCGGGATCGAGTCCCACATCGGGCTCCCTGCTCGGCGGGGAGTCTGCTTCTCCCTCTGACCCTCTTCCCTCTCGTGCTCTCTATCTCTCATTCTCTCTCTCTCAAATAAATAAATAAAAAATCATTAAAAAAAAATAAAACATTACATTGGAATACTGTTGATGTTTTTGAATAGGTAACACATTCAGTTGTTCAGACTTCTAGAGGTTGTGAGCGTGTACGGTGATGTGATGTCTCCTCCCTTCCTCCCGTCTGCCCTCCAGCCTTCCAGCCTCCCTAGGGAAGACCAATGTTAAAGTACCTGCTGTCACTCCCAGACTCTAGAATGTTCCCGTGAGGTCACTAGCGCAGCAGTTAACATCTCCACTTGACAGATGGGCAAATGAGACTTGGGCCGATGGCTTTGCCCGAGGATGCACGGAAGTCCCACGTCCAGGCTCAGCTAGCGTGTGGGCCTCTCGACAGGCTGCTGCCGACCGCCGGGCGGGAGTTGTGCTGGCAGGGGGCCAGCTGCAGGACGGGCCTGCGTCCACGCCGCCTGCGCCTGTCCCGTGACCTGACGTGCCCATCGGCGGTCTGTGACCGTGTTTGAGGGAGATGTTTTGGCTGGCCCTGGCATACCTGTCCACATCTGTCCTGGTGTGTCCGTGGCTGATCTGGGATCATGTCTGTGGCAGGTGTGGAAGGAGAGCCTCTAGTGAGTTCCCAGAGCGGACAGAGCCCTCCAGAGCCCCCGGACCCCGAGGCACCCAGCTCTTCGGGCCCAGGATGCCTGGTTGCCCTGGGCAAGGCCGACAGGGCCCCCGTGGACCCCAGCGTGACCCAGTCAGATGCGGAGAACGCGGCTCCCTCCTGCCAGGATGAGCCTGCTGCCCCGCCCCGCCGCCGGGGCAGACCCTCCAGGCGCTTCCTAGGCAAGAAATACCGCAAGTATGTAGAGCAGGGACAGGGTAGGGGAGACAGCTGGCGGGGCGGCCCCGCCAGACCTCTCCAATGCCCTCCTGGCAGGTATTATTACAAGTCTCCCAAACCGCTCCTGAGGCCCTTCCTGTGCCGCATTTGCGGCTCCCGCTTCCTGTCCCACGAGGACCTGCGCTTCCACGTCAACTCCCACGAGGCCGGGGACCCCCAGCTCTTCAGGTGCCTGCAGTGTAGCTACCGCTCCCGCCGCTGGTCCTCGCTCAAGGTGCGCAGTGTGGGGGGTGGGGGGGCACTGGGACAGAGGCGGGGGCTGGCGGGCAGTGCCAAGAGGGAGTGGTGCTCACGGGCCATTGGCCGGCACTCTCCTGCTCCTTCGCGGGGCCCGTTAAGTGGTGTGCCGCTGTGTACTGAAGGAGTTCAGGTGTGGGCACCATGGACTCTTGTGCAGGCTGCACACTGCGTAGTGGTGTCTCATCCTCAGAGGTGCTGTGCACGGTGCAGACGGCAGAGATTTGCTTGATCACCACACACTTTGGCAGATGGCAGTAAAACCGGTTCTGTCTCGTTCAGTGTGTTAGAAAGTTTTCCAGTAGATGGCGGTACTGTGTCTCAAGGAGAGAGTTCCTTTTTATACCATTTACCCAAAAGTGCCAGTGGGCTTGCTGCAACCCTAAGCTGTTTTTTATCCAGCACCTGGGCCTGGTAGGCATGCTCGAGTTTCATGCTCATGCAGCCCGAAGAGGTGGTAGGTATCATTAGGCCCATTTTACTGACCCAGGAAACTGTGGCTTGGCTTGGCCCAAGTAAGGCAGAGAGCTGGCCGTCGTGAGCAGCAAGGGGCTACCTGAACCACAGGCCAGAGCCCCTGTGCTTTCTGCACACAGTTCTTCCTCCCTCAGCCAGGCCTGTGACCTGGAAGGTGTTCTCGGGAACTCTGCTGGGGGAGGGTTGTCTCCGAGTGCGGTGGGGATGGTGGAGGCTCTGGAGCCATGCTGCTTGGGTTTGGCTCCAAGCTCCGCCATTCACAAAGTCACTTCAGGGCCGAGGTCACTTCCCTCTGAGCCTCAGTTTCTGCATCTGTCAGATGGTGAGCCAGCACAGGGCCTGGTGCAGAGTAGTAGGTGCCCTTGTTGGGGAGAGTCCCCAGCCCTAATAGGCTCCGGCCCTTGCAGCTCTCCCTCGTTCTGGGAGCCCGCTCCCACGGCAGCTCTAAGGCTGTGGGCACAGGTTGAGGGGTGCAGGGGAGGCCAGCCCCAGCCCACTATCCATTCACCTCTGTCCCAGGAGCACATGTTCAATCACGTGGGCAGTAAGCCCTACAAGTGTGACGAATGCAGCTATACCAGCGTCTACCGGAAGGACGTGGTCCGACACGCGGCCGTGCACAGTCGAGACCGGTCAGTGCGTGCGGGTGAGGGGTGGGGACGGGCCAGGGTGGGAAGTGGAGGCCCACCATAGCCGTGTTGCCCCCTTACTGAGCACCTGCCCTGGGCCGCCCCGTTGGCAGCATGTCACAGACAGCGGAAAGATAAGGCCATTCATCCCAGCTCACTTGGTTCAGAGCAGTAGCAGGGCCTGGAGGGCTCTTGTTCTGTCTCTTCCCTGCCGTGAGCTTTGTAAGATGGGGACAGTCATTGTTGAGGTGATTAAAGGGAATTGTCTGCCTAAAGGAGCTCAGGACATCATCTAAAGGTCTTCTAGACTCCCAACTCCCGGAGCACACCCAGGACAGATCGGCAGAGGAGCAAATCCTTAGGGGCCCTGTGATTGCTCGCTGAGTTGTCATTAGACCTGCAGCTTCAGGAAGGAGTTTACTCCTCTTGGGGTGCAGTGTGAGCAGAGGTTGGGTACAGGAATCCATGAGGGCAGTGACTTTCAAACTGTGCTTGTGGGAAAGCCCGCTCTCTCCAGTGCTTATGGGTTTTCTTTAAAAAAGGCGGGGCAGATGGGGGTGGTGGGGTGGGAGGTAAGATTATGGACACCGGTTCGGACACCTGGTTCACCAACTCTTTTTCTGCTCAGGACTTCTCAGGGCCTTTAAAATGCGCATTTTATTTTGTGACAAAGAAAGGAAGAAGGCACCAATCTAGAATTTATTTACAGCGTGCCTCCTAGCATTTTCTAGTGAACTCCACTTGGGGAAAGCGTGTTCTGAGAGAAGGGCTTGGCTGGGCAGTAGGGACACTCAGAGCTGAGACTGGGTCTGGGCAGCGTGAGGAGGTTTGAGGTGGGCTTGGGGAAGCAATGGTCTGACTCCTATGCCTTTCTGCGCCCCCCCCCGCCCCGCCCCAGGAAGAAGAGACCAGATCCGGTGAGTCTGGGGCCCTGGCCCAGGAAGGGAAGCCTGCTTGAGGGCCGCTTGTGAGGGTGGGGGGCAGGAGGTGAGGTCTCACCCTCTCTCCTCATCTGGTTTCTTCTTGTCCCTTCCCAGGCTCCAAAGCTGAGCTCCTTCCCTTGCCCTGTGTGTGGCCGTGTCTACCCGATGCAGAAGAGACTCACGCAGCACATGAAGACACACAGCACGGAGAAGCCCCACATGTGTGACAAGGTGGCTGGCGCCAAGGGCTGGGGGCAGGGTGAAGGGGTCTCCCTAGGCAGTTCCCCATCTAACTCACCCTACCCCTCACAGTGTGGAAAGTCCTTTAAGAAGCGCTACACCTTTAAGATGCACCTGCTCACGCACATCCAGGCTGTTGCCAACCGCAGGTATATCCCCAAGGAGGCCCCGGGGCTGGAGCACCCCACCCCACCCTATTGCTGAGCTTCCCTCCCTCTCACCATCTCCAGGTTCAAGTGCGAGTTCTGTGAATTTGTTTGTGAGGACAAGAAGGCACTACTGAACCACCAGCTGTCCCATGTCAGTGACAAGCCATTCAAGTGCAGCTTTTGCCCCTACCGCACCTTCCGGGAGGACTTCCTGCTCTCTCACGTGGCTGTCAAGCACACAGGTCAGGCCCGCCCCGCCCCACCGTGGGGAGCCCACAGCTCAGCGCTTTCTTCTTCCTCCCCCTCCGCAGCCCCAGCTCCGGCTGCTCAGTTGTAAGGGACTCTGCCCTGGAGGTGTCACCCTCTCTCCTCAGCTCTGCGTGGTCATGGGCCACCTTGCCCTGTCTGAGCCTTCCTTGGCTGTGAAAGGGGTGTCAGGAGTACCTGCTGTGTGATGGTTATAAAAGCGAGCTCTGTTCCGCAAGCCCTGTCTGTGCTGGGTGCTGGACAGGAGACATGTTGGCGGAGGCCCCGCCTCGCGCGTGCAAAAGGTGCACAAAACAGTTGATTCTTTCTCCTCCTTGGTGCCCGTGCCTCTGATGGGCATGCTGGGGGAGATTAGACACGCTATGGGGCCGGATTCCCGTCTGCCTGGGGGAGATGATTGATAAGAGAAGTGGGTGGTCCAGTGACGTGAAAATGAGACACTTCGAGGAAGGCTGTGAGTGCAGGAGGTGGGCCCGGTTCCTGTCCGGCCTGGCCCACCAGAACGAACTGCAGCACGTGCTCGCCCAGTTCCCGGCAGGGAGACAGTTGGAGAGGTCCTGGGGCCCATAGAGGGCTTCCTGGGGTGGGGGGTGGGGGCTGGGGAAGCCCAAGCATCCGTCCACCTCTGCCTACAGGGGCCAAGCCCTTTGCCTGTGAGTACTGCCACTTCAGCACACGGCACAAGAAGAACCTACGCCTGCACGTGCGATGCCGACACGCAAGCAGCTTTGAGGAGTGGGGGCGGCGCCACCCCGAGGAGCCACCTTCCCGCCGTCGCCCCTTCTTCTCTCTGCAGCAGATTGAGGAGCTGAAGCAGCAGCACAGTGCGGCCCCCGGACCACCCCCCCGCTCCCCGGGACCTCCTGAGGTGAGCTCAGCCAAGCAGGCAGAAGGGGCTGGGGAGCATGGGCCAGGATGACAGTGTCCTGTCACCTTTCCCGTCCCCAGCATCCTCATTGGCATGTTGGGGACAACAAAATGGTCCCTGCCTCCGACTGTGGTAAAGGGCAGATGAGGTCACAGACCTGTCCACCCTAAGCTCGGAGTGGGAGTGGCTTTTCAGTGGTAGGAACAGAGAATGAGATCTCAGTAGCTTAACTATGGTCATAGTTTATTATTCTCTCAAAAATGAGTCCAGAGGTCAGCAGCCCAGGGCTAGTGTGACAGCTCCATGGTCAGTCATCAGGGACCAAGCTCTCTCAATATTTTTTCCCAGCCATCCTAGGCATACGACTTCCATTTTTGTGGTTGCCTCATGGTCCAGTATAGCTGCAGGAGCTCCAGCCTTCTAGCCACATCCCGGGCAAGAAGCAAGAGGAAGGGATGGGCAAAGGCAGAAAGGAAGCCTGCCATTTCTCCATCTGTCTTCCCCGTGAACTTAACCAGAAGCTCCTGCTTAGCCACAAGGCCACACTTCACCTAGCTGCAAGGCAGGCCAAGAAGTATAGTCTCATAGCTGAGGACATTGCCTCCCCCTCCCGTGCCACAAAAGATGGACCTCCACTATGTGCTGGTAGAACACAGGCTCCCTTGTCAGTCTTGTGTTCAGATCCCAGTTCTGGTACTTACTAGCTGTGGAGTCGTAGCCATTTGCTTTACTTGTCTGAGCCTCAGATGGTTCTTCGGTAGTACTGAGCTGAGAAATACCTTGAGACGTAGTTGTGTGAAGATGAAACAAGCCAACGGATGTAAAGCGCCTGACCCGTAGGAGGTGCTTGGCAATCAGTGCTTGCATCCGAGCTGCCCCCTCTCAGACTTGGCCACATCCCCACCCCACAGATTCCCCCCGAGGCAGCACCTTTCCAGGCACCCGAGACCCCCCCACTGCTCTGTTCTGACACGCTTGGTGGCGCCACCATCATCTACCAGCAAGGTGAGCTCTGAGGGCAGGTGGGAGCCTGGGCAACTGGGGGCAGGGGCAGGGCTCCTGCTGGGGCCCCGTGGAGGGAGAGGGGGCGGTGGGCCGTTCTCAGGCTCAGGTCTCACCCAACCCAGGCGCTGAGGAGTCCACGGCAATGGCCACGCAGACGGCCTTGGATCTGCTGCTGAACATGAGCGCCCAGCGGGAGCTGGGGGGCACAGCCCTGCAGGTGAGCCGCCCGGGGCCGCCGCCTCGCCTCGCCTCCCCTGTGCAGCCATCTTCGGTGCCCGCTCTGCACTGGACACTGGGAGGGGAGGAGGGTGAAGAGGCAGATGCGCCCTGCCCTCGGGGCACCCCCACTTAACCAGGAGACTGTCCGGCAAAACCCCGGGAGCAGACGCGGAGGAGAGGGGCCCTCCTGTGCCAGGGAGGTCAGAGGAGCTCCCGCTCAGCTCGAGTCCCCGGCGACCTCTGCCAGTCCGAGCGGTTAGTGCCACCCCTGTGGCTTCTGAGGCCCTGTTCCGGCGCAGGCCTCCCAGCTCTGCAGCCACCCGGAGCTGTGGGTCCACGCCAGCTTCCCATCTAGCCTAGCGCCCTCACCCGGCGATGCGTCCCACAGCCGGGAGGCCCCCAGGGCTCTCTCCGCTCTGGCCTCTCTTGGCCAGCAGATCCTCCCCGAGCTCCTCAGGACTTCTCCCTCCTCCCAGCCACCCACCCCCCGTTCCTCTGAGGCCAGAGAGCTTTGTTAGCCCCTCCTGTCTCCGAGCCTCGTGAAAACATGTCGAATCTGTGTTTGAGATGATAAATTCCAAGAACTTGTAGCAATAGCGTGCCACTGGGGTGTAGAGGACAGACACAACTCTGGAGGTGGGAGCCTGGTGTCGGACCTGGAGAGCTTCCTAGGATTCCGGTAGTGCCTTTGATGGTGTATAGAAGTTGTACATTTTTTTTTTTTAAGATTTTATTTATTTATTTGACAGAGAGAAACACAGTGAGAGAGGGAACACAAGCAGGGGGAGTGGGAGAGGGAGAAGCAGGCTTCCCGCTGAGCAGGGAGCCTGATGTGGGGCTCGATCCCAGGACCCTGGGACCGTGACCTGAGCCGAAGGTAGTTGCTTAAGGACTGAGCCACCCAGGCGCCCCAGAAGTTGTACATTTTTAGATAGTTAAATCAGTCTTTTATGGTTTTTGCCTTTGATATCCTCCCTAGAAAGGCTTCCTTTGCCCTAAGATTGTATGAACATTCATTTGTATTTTTTTCTTAAGAGTTTCATTTTTTTATAAGGAAAGATATTTTTATTTTTTTTTATTTTTTAAAAAAAATTTTAAGATTTTATTTATTTATTTGAGAGAGAGAATGAGATAGAGAGCATGAGAGGGGGGAGGGTCCGAGGGAGAAGCAGAGTCCCCGCTGAGCAGGGAGCCCGATGCGGGACTCGATCCCGGGACTCCAGGATCATGACCTGAGCCGAAGGCAGTCACTTAACCGACTGAGCCACTCAGGTGCCCCTTAGAGTTTCATTTTTTACACTTAAATCTTTACTCCGCCTGGAATTTATTTTGGGTGTATGTAGAAAGGTAGGGGACTAACTTTACTTTTTTTTTTCCAAAAGTTATCCAGTGCAGTATATGAAATAATCTTCCCCAGTGGTTGGAAATGCCCACTTTATCAAGTTCTAGATTCCGCCATATACAGACAAGGTCTGTTCTATTGCTCTGTCTGCTGTTCTCGTGCCAGTACGTCATGCATTTTTTTTCTGATTACAAACACATATGTTTGTAAAAAAATCATATAGAACATTAAGAACTGTTCTATATAGAAAGTGAAAGTCCTTAACATCCCTCCCATCCCAACTGTTAATGGGCTAATAAGCATTTCTCCAGTTCTACGTACACGCTAACACAGACATTGTGTTCCTTAAAAAATGGGATCACAGGGCCGCCTGGGTGGTGCAGTCGGTTAAGCATCTGACTCATGGTTTCAGCTCAGGTCATGGTCTCAGGGTCATGAGATAGAGCCTTGCATCGGGCTCCGTGCTCAATGCGGAGTCTGCTTGAGATTCTCTCTCCTTCTGCCTCTGCCCCTCCTGCTTTGCGTGTGCATGCCCTCTCTCTCCCTCAAACAAAACAAAACAAAACAAAACAAAACGGGATCACATGATTCATGCTCCTCCATAGCCCACTTTTCTTCCCTGGGCAGCATGTGCGGTATGGTCTGGCCTGTGCACCCAGACCTCTCCCTGTTGTTCCCACGTAGGTCTCCACATCCTTCCATCCCAATGTTGTAGGTCATGCAATCCTTTACTGGTTGGTTGTTTCCAGTTTCTAATCAGTCAAAGGCAGTACTTCGGTGCACATATATTTCAGGTGCTCCTAAACACTTTTTAGTTAAAAAAACCCTCCTAGAAGTAGAATTGGTGGGTCTGAAGGTACGAAGCCTCAGAGAGAGAGAGATGCTAGTTTATGTGACCACCGCTAGAGCGTGTTTCCCTACACCTTTGCCAACACTGGGTGCTGGGTGTCCCCAATCTTTATAAATCTCATCCACGTAGTAGAAGTATATTTCATAGTCTTTTTTTTTTAAGTTTTTATTTATTTGAGTAATCTCTACTCCCAATCAGCGTAGGGCTCGAACTCCCAACCCCAAGATCAAGAGTCGCATGCTCCTCTGACTGAGCCAGCCAGGTGCCCCTCATGGTCTTAATTTATAATGTTATGACCATAAATGAGATTGAACTACTTTCTGTATGTTCATAGACCATTTATTTCTTCTCTGACTTACCTGTTTGTGTCCTGTATCAGTTTTCCTATTAGTCTTTTTTTTTTTTTTTAAGATTTATTTGAGAGAGCGCGCACACACATGGAGTGGGAGGGTGGGTGGTGCAGAGGGAGAGGGAAAGAGAAACCTTAGCAGACTCCCCACTGAGCGCGGAGCCCAATGCAGGGTCCGATCCCATGACCCCAAGATCACAATCCAAGCCAAAACCAAGAGTGAGACGCTTAACCAGCTGCGCCGCCCAGGTGTCCCTATTGGTCTTTTTATTATCACTCTGCAGAGGCTCCTTGTATATGAAGGAGACTCCCCTTTTCTCTCGTATGAATTGTTAAATACCACATTTTGTTTTCTGATTTCAGTTTATGGTTTGTTTTGCTGATTAGAAAAAATCTTCCCACCCCAGAGCATCAAAATACTTATCCACATTTTCTCTTTATATTTGTGGAATTTTTTATTACATTTCATGGGGCACCTGGGTGGCTCCTTAAGCGTCTGCCTTCGGCTCAGGTCATGATCCCAGGGTCCTGGGATCGAGCCCGGCGTTGGGCTCCCTGCTCGGCGGGAAGCCTGCTTCTCCCTCTGCCACTCCCCCTGCTTGTGTTCCCTCTCTCGCTGTGTCTCTGTCCAATAAATAAAAAATTAAAATAAAAAAAGATTTATTACATTTCAGTGTTTAATCCATTTGAAGTGGACTTTGGAGTAAGATATGAGGTCAAGTTCTTTTTTCTTAAATGGTTTGCCACTTTTCCCTTTACCCTAGGATTTCTCAGTCTTGGCCTTTAGTGGCAGATAGTTCTTTGTTGTGGGAGCCTTGCTATTCATTGCGGGGTGGTTAGCAGCATCCCTGACAGATAACCCCGAGGTGCCAGGACCACTCCCCTTCCAAAGTGTGACCAATGAATGTCTGCAGACATTGCCCAGCTGCCCCTGGAGGGCAGTATTGTGCTACCCTGGTCTTGTTAAGTTTACTTATTTCCAGTTGCTGGGTGGGGCTTGGAGAGTCAGAGTGTGCTTTAGAAAGGACACACAGTTGGGGCTGTGCAAATGAGTGGTGGCAGCACTGGGCTGCCCGAGTGTGGGCAAGCTTTGAGGTAGAGAAGGGCCCTGAACACCAGCCTCTCTGCCACAGACCCTGCTCCTAATGCCCACTGGGTCCATTACAGGTGGCCGTGGTGAAGTCCGAGGACGTGGAAGCAGAGTTAGCATCCCCTGGTGGGCAGCCCTCCCCAGCAGGTGCCACTCCGCAAGTGGTAACCCTCCACGTGGCCGAGCCGGGGGGCAGCGTGGCAGCAGAGAGCCAGCTAGGTGCCCCTGACCTGCAGCAGATCACCCTGGCACCTGGGCCATTTGGTGGGACTGGCTACAGCGTCATCACTGCACCCCCTATGGAGGAGGGGACATCAGCTCCTGGCACGCCTTACAGGTGAGACCTGCTGCCTGCAAGGCCCCCTTTAGTCATTGATAGGAGTGCCGGGAGGCCTCAGATAAGGGCCCTGCCCACCAGAGCCTAGTGGGCAGGAGGCAAAACTCCTAATACGTGTAACATAATTAGCCATAGGAGTCGTATCTTTCTCAGGAGGTTGGAAGCTACTAATTTTTGGCCACTTAGATGTTCCAGGCACTGGACGTTCAGAACTCACCTAAACCATTCTTGTGAGATCCACGTTTCTCTCATTTTACAAGTGAGGAAATAGGCCAGGGACATTGAGTGACTTGCCTGAGGTCAGACAGGCAGTAAGCGAGGAGTCGACCCCTTGGTTCTAAAGTCACGTGCTCTTTGTTCTGGGTGATCCTGAGGGGTTGTCCATTCTGAGCTTCGTGGCAAGCTCAGGCTCGTCGCCGGCACTGGAGGCCTGGCAGCCGCACTCGGCTTCCTCTGCACTGAGCAAGTTCGGAGCAGAAATATTTGTATGCTCCCTGAACTCCGGGGCGGTCTGAGAAAGCCCTTAATCCAGGCACTGAAGCGCCACAGTGTGTGGCTGGGATAGGAATCCAGATCCCTGGGCAGCCGGCGGGCAGCCATCTGCCATCTGCTCCTGGTCTCTGGGTACTTGCCAGGCCTGCCCCCCCCCCCCCCCCCGCCGCCCCACTGGCCCTCCTGCTGCCACACTTGGCCAGACCTGGGCTAGACCCCTGGGGCTCTCCGCCTCACTGCCGCCCTGCCCTTCAAAGGAGCCGGATGACTGCTGTTGAGCAGGACGATATGTGGGACCTGTGGTCACTATTTACAGAAGAGACAGTTGAAGTTCAGCTGGAATTCAGACCAGGGAGTCCACCTGTGGTGGCAGTCAGCCCCTCAGCTGATGACTTTCTTGGGGAAGGGGACGCCTGTGGCCTTCTGTCCCCTCCTAGAATTCACTCCTCCCCTCTTCGGTGCTCACAGCGAGGAGCCCCCAGGGGAGGCAGCCCAGGCTGTGGTTGTGAGCGACACCCTGAAAGAAGCTGGTACCCACTACATCATGGCAGCCGACGGGACCCAGCTGCACCACATTGAGGTGAGGCTTGGGGTACAAGCCTTCCCCCACTGCTATCCTTCCCCAGTCCTCCCCAGTACCTCACGCTTCTCTGTCTCTCTACAGCTGACTGCAGATGGCTCCATCTCCTTCCCAAGCCCGGATTCCCTGGCCTCTGGAGCCAAGTGGCCCCTACTACAGTGTGGGGGACTGCCCAGAGATGGCCCTGAGCCCCCATCTCCAGCCAGGACCCACCGGGTGGGAGACCCCCAGGGCTCTGCCTCCCCACCCCCCACGGCCAGCAAAGCCCTGAGCCTGGGAGTGCCGCCGTCGCCACCGTCCGCAGCCACAGCCTCCTCCAAGAAGTTTTCCTGCAAGATCTGTGCTGAGGCCTTCCCTGGCCGAGCAGAGATGGAGAGTCACAAACGGGCCCATGCCGGGCCTAGTGCCTTCAAGTGCCCCGACTGCCCCTTCAGTGCCCGCCAGTGGCCCGAGGTCCGGGTAAGTGCTGCCCCCCGTGCCTCCCCTGGCACTCATTCGGCCACTTGTTTAACAGACCTTAACTGAACACCCCGAGCCAGGCCCTCCCCCTTCTAGGGTCAGAAAGGATTCCGTGAGGTCTCAGCATTCAGTCTGGCGCTCAGTCTGGTGGGGAACCATCCAGACACGGTGACTGATGCCCAGCAGTGTCCCTGGTGTGAACAGAGGGCAGACGGCATGGGTCGTGTGGGCTTGGGGTGCTGGTGTCGGCCGACCTGGGCCTGGAGGGGCAGAGGGCGTGCTTAGGGAAAGGCAAGTTGTCTGGAATCGGGAGAGCGCAGGGTACGAGGAAGGTGGTGGAAACAGTGTGGAAAAGGTGAGGAGGGCAGGTCCTGGGCAGGAGTCCTTCCCCCGAGGATTACCGTTTCCAGACCCAGAATCCCCACAGCAGCTCGGTGACGGGACAGGGCCCAGGCCCTAGAACGTCAGGGCTGGGAGAGCCCTTCAGAGGTTCCCTCATCTGAACCTGTATCTTGCGTTCACGCGGGGCCAACGGGAGTCTGGGAGCAGGGACAGGATTTTCTAAGTGACCCAACGGCGGGGGCCTGGGACTTGTCCCTCTCGCCCCACACAGCAGCACCACATCTCGGTCTGGTTCGTACTTCTTACGCAGCTCCTGTCCCCCTGCGGACAGATTCCCTGACGGCCCTGTCCGTGAGGTGCTCTGTGCTCCCCCAGCCAGCGCCCCCAACTCTGCCCCTTCCCCAGGCCCACATGGCGCAGCACTCGAGCCTGCGGCCCCACCAGTGCAGCCAGTGTAGCTTTGCCTCCAAGAACAAGAAGGACCTGCGGCGGCACATGCTGACGCACACCAACGAGAAGCCCTTCGCGTGCCACCTCTGCGGGCAGCGGTGAGGCGTGGGGCGTGGGGTGGGAACAGGCGGGCAGGGGCTGCTGGGCATGTGTGATGGGGCGGCCCCTGAGCCTCTCCCCCCCCCCCCAGTTTCAACCGGAACGGGCACCTCAAGTTCCACATCCAGCGGCTACACAGTCCTGATGGGAGAAAGACGGGGACCCCGACTGCCCGGACCCCAGCCCGGACCCCCGCCCAGACCATCATCCTGAATAGTGACGAGGAGACGCTGGCCACGCTGCACAGTGAGCTGCCCCTGGGGGGCCAGGGTGGGGGGCCAGGGCCTTGTCAGGTTTCACCCGAGTCCCTGCGTGAGCATCCTCCCCTCTCTGCCCAGCTGCACTACAGTCCAGCCACGGGGTCCTGGGCCCAGAGCGGCTACAGCAGGCACTGGGCCAGGAACACATTATCGTGGCCCAAGAGCAGACAGTGACCAATCAGGTGAGCGCCTGGGCTGGGAGGTCACAGGCCGGGGTGGGGGGACACACAGAGCCGAGGCTGGAGCTGGCTTGGTCCTGGCAGGAAGAAGCCACCTACATCCAAGAGATCACCACCGCGGACGGCCAGACAGTGCAGCATCTGGTGACCTCCGACAACCAGGTGAGCACTGCGGCCAGCACTGCCCTCCCTCCGCCTGCCCCCAGGGCCTGCTTTGGGGAGGAACCGTACTTTCCAAACCACCCCTCCCCGGGTCCGTGCTTGCAGCTGCCATCATTCATGCTGGGTGTCCCTGGGCCCCTGCTCGGTTTTCCTTGCTAAGCTCCCGGTTCAAGGCCTCAGCACCTGCCTCTCCTCCACCCTTCTCCAGGTACAGTACATCATCTCCCAGGATGGAGTCCAACAGCTGCTCCCCCAGGAATATGTGGTGGTTCCAGAGGGCCATCACATCCAGGTAGGCCAGGCCTGAGCAGGAGTGGGGAGCGAGGCCAGGCGAGTACAGCCTCCTTGGTCGTCACGTTGCCTTCCTCCCTCCAGGTACAGGAGGGCCAGATCACACACATCCAGTACGAACAAGGGGCCCCTTTCCTTCAGGAGTCCCAGGTAGGCGTTTGGGGGGATCAGAGGGAGCCGGGGCAGAGCTCCTCCAAGGCCAGATCTCATTGGCTTCTCCACTCTAGATCCAGTATGTGCCTGTGTCCCCAGGCCAGCAGCTGGTCACACAGGCCCAACTGGAGGCCGCTGCACACTCAGCTGTCACAGGTATGGGATGGGAGCCTGATGACCATGGGGACCCAGGCCGAGCTTCTGGGGCCTCGGGCTCACTGTCCTCTCCCCTCCCCTGGCAGCGGTGGCCGATGCTGCCATGGCCCAAGCCCAGGGCCTGTTTGGCGCAGAAGAGGCGGTGCCTGAACACATCCAACAGCTGCAGCACCAGGGCATCGAGTACGACGTCATCACCCTGACCGATGACTGAGCCCTGAGGGCCCAGCGCAGACCGTGGATACTGGGGCCAGCCGTGCTTAGGGGTGGGGGTGGGGGGGACCCGCTGGGACTCACCTCCCTGTTCCACCTAGGGTCTCCAGGCACTGAGCAGCCGGTATCCTGTCACTCTTAAGAGAGCCAGACCTGTGCTGCTGGGTCTAGGGGACAACCATGGGCCCCAGCCAGGACATGCTGGGTGCCCTAGCCTGCAGGCAGGCTTTGGGGAGAGAAATTTATTTTTGTTTGGATGGACCCACTGGCCCCTCAGTCTCAATAAAGGGACCAGAGTCCAGTCCCGACCATCTTACTTTTGTCCGCAAGGACTTGGGAAGTGGAAGGAAGGAGGAGCGTGCAGCTCACGAGAGCTGCCTGGCCCCACAGTGCAGCCCACCTCGCCTCTGTAAACAGTGTGGTGGCCCAACGGCAGGGCAGGCCCGTGGGCAGAGGCCTGATACTGGGAGAGATTGCTGAGCTGGTAAGAACCCCCCCTGAGCACCTTCAGACCTTCTTCCCTTCCCCTGGACCCCAGAACATCTGCTCCCGGCCTAGAGGTCCTCAGAGGGCAGCACAGCCAGCAGCCCGAAGACTAAACCCTGAAGCCCATGGTGGCCCAGAGCTGCTCTTCCTCCTGACCCCCGGTTGTGAGCCCTAGCTGGCTGCCCCCTCACTGGCGGCTCCAGGTCGAGCAGGAGTCTTGCTCTCTGCCTGGGCACAGTCCCCAGTCCTCTGCTCCCTGGAGGCAGGAGTGCAGGCCTGGCTGTGGGAGTCTGGGGCCTGCAGATAGACGATGCAGGGCTCTGGACTCCAGACTTAGGTACACACAGGCAGAGGCCACCAGAGACCCAGCTGTGGGGCCAGCAGGGCGTGAAGTTAGACACTGGAGCCCTGGGTTGGGGTGTGAAGGCCCAGGGGTCGTAAGAAGGTGAGCCTGGATGTAGAGGGTGTGGTTCCAGGACTAGCTCCAGGTTCTCTGCCTTCTCGGCCCTCAAGACCCTCACACATTCTTAGGGGGGTTTCTGTATTTCCTTTTACAAATGAAACAAGATGGTGATAAGATGGTAAGGATCAGGGGAGGACGGGGAAGGGATGGGACCTATTTACACGGGAGATGGAGTGAGTTCGAGGTGAGGGGTTGGGGGATCGGGCAGGGAGGGGGAGCCCTGGCAGAGCCATCATCTTCCTATGACACTGGCAGCCTGAGTCCTGCTGCCACCTCAGGGGGAGGGTCCTGGGGTCTGCTCAGCCCCAAGAGGCCCGAGTCTCAGCAGTCCACACCAGCACCCTGGGGCTCCTCCTCCCCGCAGGATGTGTTAAGTGGGGTGCGGCTCGCGGCTAGGGCCCTGTTCGCGACCTGAGTCCCGGTCCTTGTTCTCTGAGCAGGAAGCGGCGGAGCCGGAGCTGTGGCTGCGACCTGACTGCCGGTAGGCGGTACTCAGCTCCTGCAGCCGCTCTGGTGTCGGCCCCCACTTGGCAAAGCCAGGGTCATTCTGTAGGAAGAGCACGGCCGTGTTGTGGACGGCCTTGTAGTGCATTTCTTCCCTGTGGACAAAGGAGCAGCTCAGGGGGGGGGCTCGGCCTGGCGTGATCGGCGCCCCCCACCACGCCCTCCCCGGGCACCCACTTCTTGCAGACGTGCTGAGAGCCACTGCGGTACTCGTGCTCGAAGGCAGGCAGGACCAGCTGGTGGCGTTTGAAGCGGCTCTGCTCCATGCGGGTGAGCGCCGGCGTGGGGGGTTCTCGCCACTCGGGGATGAACACGATGAAGGACAGGGGCTCTGGTGAGCTCTCGAGCAGTTTCTACGGGAGGGGCCGTGGGGTGGACATCAAAGGCTGCCCTCCAGGTGGCTGGCAATCCTGCTTGCCACCCCCACACCCCACCTGCAGCAGCACACCCACCTCGAAGTGAGAGACCATGGCATCCATAAGCTCCTCGCAGAATGGAGGGTTGGCCTCAAAGGAACCACTCAGCGGGGAGAAATCCAGACAGGGCCTGGGGACAGAGGTGAGCATCCTAAGTCCTACCAGGACCCAGGCCCTCCACCAGAAATGGGTGCTGCCCCCACGCTGTCGAAGGGATGGACCCTTGTCGGGCCCTAGGCCAACATGCATCCTTAATTTCATCCTGGGACAAGGTGTGGCCGACCCCATTGAAAGGCTGAGGATGGAGAGGCTCAGGCTTGGGGGCCAAGTCCACCAAGCCACTTAGTGGAAGGGCTGGGGCTCAAACCCAGTTCGGACTCCGTGGTCACCACGGCACAGGCCCCAGCCAGGAGCTCTTGTTGTCTCAGACCTGTCTCCTCTCACCTGTGCTCACTCCCCTCCACCCTCCCGTGTTAGTCTGTAAGGTCGCAGAGGTCTGAATTGTCACTTCCCATGCCTCTCAGTGCCTGGACCAACTCACCGAGAAACCCACAGGCTGGGGTAGGAGCTAGCACAGGCTCCCGGAAGTACAGCGACCAGTCCAAAGTCACACAGCTAGCAATGGGTGAAAGCAGGGACTACACCCAGGACTGCCCAATTCCAAAACCCTAAAGCATTAGGAAGTAGCCGGCCCAGGTGGCATCTCTGCTCTAGAGGAGCCCTTCCCGGGCCCGGACAGAAGGGCCCCGGCAGCCCCTGGCTCTCACCCGCGGGAGCCGAAGTAGCCATCTGTGTCCGGGAAGGCAGAGCAGTACTGGCGGAAGTAGCAGTTGAGCGGCGAGGCGAAGCACTCAAAGCTGACGCCGAAGAGCCGGTGGAGGGCCTCAAAGACGTGCACGGGCAGCGATCCCTGCAGGCCCGTCCCCTCGTAGAGGCCCACGCCAAACATCATCTGCACAGTGGCCGCCGTCAGCCTCCAGGGCTCAGCACGCCCCCCCGCCCCGCCCTCCAGCAGAGCCCCCCGCCCCCCGCTGCCCAGGGCCTGTACCTGGTACCGTCGGAGAAGACACCAGACGCGGGGCAGGAACCTCTCAAAGGCAGCGTCGTCAATGCAGCTGTAGCGGTAAAGCAGCCACTGCGAGGCAGAGAGCGGTCCTTCAACAGTGCTCCCTCCCTCCCTTCCCACCGCCCCCCACCCGCCGGCCTCCTCCTGGGGACCTGCCTCCCCTTCACCCCAGCTCTTACCAGCTTGCTGAAGTAGTTGCGGCTGACCTTGACCATCTCTCCCTTATACCGGATGCAGACCACGTTATTCTCCATATGCATCTCCACGCTGGGCATAGGGGGCGCAGACACGGCCAGCCGTACCGGGTAGCAGTACACCAGGCGGGGCTCCACTTCTGGGGCCTCCACCTCCTCTGTGGGCAGGGAGAGCAGTGAGGGGCCACCCTGCCTCGGCTCTGCTCATTCGCAGTGCCTACTGCATGCCGGGGGCCTCACACACGTGTCCCAGTGACCGGGGGAGGTGAGTCTTGTCGCACAGAGGAGCAGAATGCAGCTCAGACACTTCCGTAACGACATTAACAGCCAGGAAGTCAGCAGGGGCAAGAGGTGGTGGCCTGGGTCAACATGCTCTGTACTGGCACAGGCCCCCAGTTGGCCAGACAGGAGTATGAGAACTGCATTGCTCTCCTAGGGATTACGATGCCTCATTTAGGGAGCTTTCTGGGCCCAGCACTCAGAGTTACCCCTGAGTTCACATAGGAGCCTGTGGCCAGGCACTAGAGCGCCGTGTGGGGAGATGGGGGCTTACAGAAAGCAGGTGCAAACACAAGTCCGCCTGACTGCTGCCCCCCGGCCTGTCTGCACCACCTTCTGTCTCTCCCTTTCCCAGCCCTTCTCCAGTTCCTAGAAGAGGGCTGAAACCCCCGAGCCCAAGGACAGCAGGTCCTGCCCCAGACACTGCTGGGAGAAACAGACTTCCCCAAACCAGCCTGCAGCCTAGAGGCTCAGCCTCGCTTGTCCCTTCCGTCAGGGCCCAGGAAACAGAGTTGATGGCCTCACGGCTGGCTCCCTGCCATTGGCTTCCTACCTGGGATGTTGTTTTCTTTGAGGATGGCAAGGTGCTTCTCACGGATCCGCTTGACGTACTCCAGGGAGATGTGGTAGATCTTACTACAGATGCCCTCCACGGAGTCCTTAGCCGCGGCTGACACGTGGGGGCCACACTGCCTCCGCAGGTGCTCCAGGCGGTCCTGGAGGAGACACTCCTGATCAGGGCTCTAGGGAGCTGGTGGGGGAGGGCTGGAGGCTTCCAGCAGTCCTCGTTTTCAAACACGGCTACTTAACTAGCTGTGTCACTTAGACAAGTCCCTTGGCATCTCTGAATCTTATTCCTCAACTGTTAAGGGAACACAAAATACTTACCGGATAAGACAGTTTGAGTATTAAATGTGATCATTCCCATTAAGGGCTTAACCAAGCCCCCGGCATACAGCAAATGTGCAATAAATGCCAGCACCTCTAGTGGGGGTTACACTGTGCCAGATCCCATGACAATTGCTGGGGAAACAGACAAAGCAGGCACAGTCCCTGCTTATAAAGCATTTGCCAACTACCAGGGAGAGAGACCATTACAAAACGGGGTCCTTGGTCATTGCAGATTTGAGATCTGAGCTTTTAGCAACTGGCAAGGATTTAACTAGGCATTTGTAATTTTGCTGAATCACACGTGTGAAAGTGATGAGTGAAAATGAGTCACTCTGGCTAGTGAGTACACCTACCTTTGTCACTCTACGTGTCAAGTACAGTTACTATCGTGAAGTGCGAAACCTTGTCTCTTGTGAAAAATGATCCTGAAAAGAAAGCCCATTGCTAGTGCTGGTGGAGAGTTAAAGAAGTGACGGGTCTGGGCCAGAAAACAGAATCGCTGCGGACACAGTAAAGCAGGGCATTGAATCTGGTGCCAGTTCTTCACTGTGGCGAACGCACACACCCAAGAAAAGGCAGTTTGTCCATCTGTGTCCAAAAATCTATTCAAGGGAGATGTTCAACATTCATTAAGTTGAAAAGGCAGCTACTTATGGTGTGTGGCCAAGCACAGGATTCCATTAAAGAACCTTAATGGAGACCATCTTTAGGACAGAGCCAGGAGCCTGGACAAACATCTCTACATGCGGGAGTTTGGGGACTGATGAGCATCAAAGGTCTGCTGAACCGCACAACAGGCTGCTGTGGGGTCCTGCCCAGCCTAGGCAGGCAGCTGGAGGAAGGAGCCACAGAGCCTTGCCACTGGCCTCCTTCCCCGGGGCCACTCACCATGTAGTCCTCCTTGGAGGCTGAGTGGTCCTTCCGCAGCCAGCTGAAGGTGTCCTCCACGTTCCATTTGACCACCTTCCTGCTGTCGGGGGATGCACTCCTGCCAGTTGAGGGCACATAATGGAG